TGGCGTTTTGCAAAATGCAAAGCTCTGCTGTTTCAGTCTGCAGGCTTGTGGGGGTCTGCTTGGGGGGGGGTGAGGGGTGAATGCAACCATGTTGCTCTGTATTTTGCCCCAGCATCTTACTAATGCTGTAGAGACCCAGAAATACAGGCTCAGCTATTGAACTCTTGCACTTGTCTGATCTAGCTAGTGATATAATGTCTCCCCTGAGCAGTTCAGATTCATCTTATTCTGGTAACACATGCAAGGGCTGGCGCTGCTGCCGGGCAGTAGCTGAGGGAACCTTTGTTTTCTGCAGTGACAACCCGGGTCTTTAACTCCTGATCTGTATGTGGCACTAGACAGACCCAGGAAAATTGGATACCACCTGAGCCGAATAAAGCTGTCATGTTCCCTGAATCCACTTAACTCCTCCCAGAACCTTAAAATTGCCCAAGAAGGAGAGCTGGCCCCACAAATCAGTGCAGATGCAAATTTATGGTGTGTGCTAGGACAAGTGCTTTTTTAATTCAGAAAGCTCTTGCCCTGTGGGTTGGCTGGGGCAAGGTGAAGACGACCTTGTGGTCACTCAGTTGAAGCTGGGAATGAAATTATTAGCCATGCAAAGAGGGAAATGTGAGGACAGCCTATGAAGAGACAAGAGGCACAGTGTGGGCATGGCTGGAGGTGCAGCAGGTTATGAATGGGGAGAAAGGATGTGGTTTTCTGTTTCTCTTGCTGATTGCTATGGAAAAAATATCTGAAAAATGAGCTTCCTGCAAGACAAAGATTGAGGGAATTCCCCTGGCTGCCGAGGCTCTGCCAAGTCCTTTGCTTCCTACAGTCTCAATGGTGGGTATCAACAGCAGAAATACTTTTTCCAGCTGTTGTTCAGGCTGTAGGAATTGGTTTCTGTGTGAGTTTCTCGGGTGCTTTGCTCACAGGACCCCCCTCTGTGACAACCCCCATGGGGAAACTGAGGCAGACAGGAGCCCAAATCAGAGGAAAATGCTGGACCTTGAAGGAAGAGCCAAGCTCTTTCTGCAGCAGCTGGGCTGGACTAATGCTTGGGGGGTCTTGGGTAGGAGTGCAAGGAGCACATTTATTGCCCAGAAATGCCTTTGCTCATGCAATGCAAAATAAATCCTTGTTTTCATGAACATTAAAACAAAGCAACCGTCTTTCTTGGCTATGTGGCAAGAAAGGGATAGAGTTTCTAATGAACTTTGGTGGTGAGCTATAACTCTGCTGCAGCCTGAAACAAACTGGGAGGGGGGGAGAAAAACCACAGTGCTGGGCTTCCTGTGTCATGGGGCTGGGGAAACTCAAGCCCAGTGATGCCTGCAGGAGCAGAGCAGGGAGGCAATTGACGTCTGGGGAGAGCCGAGGTTGCTTAGCGAAATGGGATGGAGGTAAACTTGGATTCCATGAAATAATATAGCTTTTTATGGTGCGGGGACTTAGTGCTGGGTGAAGTCAGAAGAAGTGCTCAAGTGGATTATAAATGGCACTGGTTAATCTTAAACTAACATCAACAGGAAGCCAGCAGCTCGGGTGGGAAATTCCAAAGCTCACAAACAATGTGTTTTTGGCCCATGTCAGAATAAAAAAGCTGGTCTCTTATGAACACTTATGGGGAAATTCTGACCTGGAAACACTTTTTCTGCATTAAAGCCCAGCATTAAGTAAACAAACTACACCAGAGCTGGAGGTTTTGCATGCATGTAAAAGCTTTGAGAGCCTGTCAGATTCAGCTGATGTTTGGAGGGTTCCTTGAAATACTTTGATTTTTGGTTGAGCTGTGTCCTAATGCTCTTGTATTCCCTGACAAATATTTTGGGACCTCGGTACCAGTTTATGGTGCTACAGGAAAATGTCAAGAAGTGGCCTGCGAAGGTGTGCTGGGCTGGGGGGCTCAGCAGCACCCAAGGTGGGCTGCTGCCTCCTCTGCAACAAGCCACCTTCTCCTTTCCTCTGCAAGCACCCTTTTTGTGGCCCCATGGATCAGCTGATGTGTGTAACTTGGCTCCCAGCACAGGTGCCTTGGCTTTTGCATGTGCTTTGTTGCAGTTGTTAAAGCAAGCCACAGACTTCTCCCTTCCTTCCCACCCTTAAGGTAGTTTCCTTTTATTAAGAGCCTTTTCATCTCTGATATTAACAGAAAATGATGATTTCCTTACCTGTGTCTTAGCTGTGCCAACTGTGAAAGGCTTTTTAGTAGCTTTTGGACCTGACTTGGTTTGCTGGAAATAAAAATGTGATATATGTATCTCCTCCCAATGAGCTGAAGCGATAGTGGGGACTGCAGCATGTGTAGGGCAGCGCTTTGCTTCCTTGGGCTTCATGTCATTGCTTCTCTCATCTGATTAACCAAATGAACCTATCCAAAAGCCACTGGTTGGACTCGGTACCTTTGAAAACTTTATTTTTCTTCCCAAATATCGGTTCCTGCTGGAAGTCAGGAACCGCCCAGGGCTGTGTGAGGACGGGGCATGGGGAAAGGTGGCAAGTGCAGCTTGCGTGGCTCTGTGCCAGGGCTGTTTCAAGCCATCTTCCAACTTCACAGTGGCTTAAAAGCAATTCCTCCTTCCCCTTCTGCTGGGCTTGGAGGGAAGGGGGAGAGAGCGAGAGGCCAGGGTGAGCTGAGGGGTTGTGTGCGGAGATGCAGTACATAGTTTGAGTGTGGTTAAACCCCTCGGGTCATGTTTGCTGCCCAGCAAGGCAGACCTGTGTCTGGTCTGCACAGAAATGATAAAACTGAGAAGCGGCAGGGGTCTTTACAGTAGTGTTTTCAATAATGGCTTTGCAAAAAAAGTGTGAAGCATCTGTTTGTAAGTGGAGGGCAGTATCTCATTCTTGAGTGGGGGGAAATCCTGGATGAAAATATTTTCCACAGCTCTGAGCTGCATAGCCATGGCACTGTGCCAGAGGCTTCCCAGCAGCTGGAAAGATGAGATTCCTGCAGTCCTGCAATGCTTAGTCAGGAGAAGAGACATGCAGGTACACCTGGGTTGCTGGGAGAGGAGGCTGGCTCTTGTTCCATACCTGGCTTGACACCACTAGATGTGTGTTTTCCCATGGGAGGATCCTTCTCCAGAGGGGAAGCTGCTCGGTGCAGGCTCTCAGGCATGTGGTCTATTGGTTTTCCCCAGCTGTGAGAGCTCCAGGCACAGGCAGACCAGAGGAGACGGATGCCAGTGGAAATCACCCATCCCCTGCATGGGTTTGCCAGGCCTGGAGTATTTGTGCAGGCAGGGTTGTCAGCTACAGCCTGGCAGCAAAGCCAGCAGCACCGCCAGCTCTTGAGTCACCCTGTCCTATGCATGTGTAAAAAGCAAACAGTCTGGTGGCTTCATGCCTCCCAGGAGCCTATCTGACCTTGTGGGAGCATAGCACAGGAGCTGTTGTCTGGCTCTGCCAGCACGACTTTCCCATGTGTTTTATACCCTGGTGGTGTGGGTTTGCTGCACGGGCTTCCCGCTGCCTTTTCAACTCTGTCTCCTGAGCGGGAGAAATAGGATCTTTGTAATTACTCTGCAAATAGCTTTTAAAGTGAAAGCCATAGTTCGTCTTACACAGGATGCTGCCAGAGAGATTATTGCTCCCATGGGTTTTTCTTCCAGAGCATCCCCGGGGGATCCCTCTGCACCTTGTCTGTTGACAAACCCTTTTGTGCTGATCTCATTTCCTGATGATCCTCTCAGGAGGTCTCCAGATGGAGGTGGCTGACATTGCCTCTGCATGAGGGGCTTCTCTCTGCCTCTGGGCTTAAAATAAAATACCCCTGTTTGGCTTGTTCAGACTTCATCCTGTCTCTGGCTTTTGCTGTTTTCTGGGTAACCTCTGCAAAGTTACTGCAGGAACCAACTGGAGCTGGTTACTGCAAAGTGCTGATGCTCCTCTGGGACAGACCTGGGGGTCTGAGCTGCCAGGGCTGCAGCAATGTAAGCCTTGTGCCAGCTTTGCTGTTTTCATGCTGGAATAAATGGCAAAAATGGATGGGTTTAACATGGCGAGAGTCACTTTGGCCGGAAGAGTCCCTTGTCCACGTCTACAGCTCTCCTGGTGTCTGAGTCGCTGTGTCTGTCCAGGTCAAAGCCACTGTCCCTTTGCCTGCCACCCTCTTGCCAAGCTTTCAGCTGAGCTGTCAGCTTTCCAAGGGAAGTCCTGCTCTTCTAAGACATCCACCTTTCTGCAGCAGAGTGTCTCTGGGCAGCTGTAATGATGAACAGTCCTTGGGCATGCTTTGCCTAGGGCTGCGATTCCCCCTGTGTGGCTCCCTTGGGACCCCAGGTTATCACCCCCCCAGCTTGCGATAGCACGTGAGGATGTAAACCCCATTTTGGTGATACTGACTCATGCAAACCAGTGCTCCTGACTCCGATGGGAAAAGCATTACTCACGTGAGCCTGTTTGCAGGATCAGGGCTCTAATTACAGGGTTTGCCCATCTCGTAGCGTGGGAACCGGAGCCATTAGCCCCTAAACCTCCAGATCATTCCCAATACATTAATGTTTCTAATTAGTGAAGCCTGATGCCTTTTTCTCCCCATAATGACAGTGGCACTAGTACTTACTCGTGTTAGCTCTGCGTGCTGGTACTTCATTATATAATGATACAGTATGTGTTGTAATACCTATTCCCAACTGACAGTGGGTTTTTTGCATATGCCTCATCCAGGACTGATTAGGCAATGGAAAAGACAGGCTAGTGCAAATAAATGTTTGGGTCGCATCCTTTCTAATGAGCTGGGATGCTGTCAGTGCAGGGGGGAATTAGGGCCAGGTGAGGACCCAGAGCTGGTGGGTCAGTTGAAGGTTGCTGTGGGATGGAAACCTGTTGCCGGTTTTCATGCTCCTTTAGGGGATGAGCTGCCCCTTCCCCAGGCTGTCTTTCGTTCCCAGTCCCTTCTTCCCTTCCTTCCAGGGAAACCATCTCCGTGGCAACCTCGAGCCTCCAGGCTCTGCCTCGGAGCTGCTCGCCCGTCCCCAGGACCCCGTGGGTAAGTGCCTTGGCAGGGCCAGCCGTGGTGGCCCTGGCCACCGGGTCCATCAGGCTGCTGCAGGCACCTCAGTGCAGCCTGGGGAGGCGAGGGCTGCTGTTGGGCTCGGCAGGGGTGTGGGTATATAAACCTCATACCCTGGCTCATCTCATCCTTGGGGCTTGGCTTGTGCTTTGTACAGGCTTAAAAATGGGTGGCCAAGGCTGTCCTCATACGGAAAAAGCTCTGCCCTGGCTCTGGAGGGGGTGCCTGGGTTCAAGGTGAACTCCTGTGCTGTTCCCCCGGCAGAGGCTTTCCCTGGCGTCGGGGTGTGTTGGTCAGTGTCGCTGCTGGTCGTGCATCCATCAGTAGTGGTCTTAGTTAATCCATGACCGAGCCTGATACCAGTTTTTCATCTTTTTCATCACATTTGAGTCCTAGGGAGCGCAGCAGGGTCGGCACCTGGAGACAGGGACTCTGTCCCCGCTTGGAGTGTGGTGTCACAGTGACCACCATGGAGGTGATCGTCGCTGCGCTGGGCTGCCCAGCTTGTGAGGTCATGCACGCACATCTCTGGTGCTGTGCGGGAGGCTGGTGATCTGTCTTCCTTGTAGGTGGGCAGAAATGGGTCCTCTGAGACATGGGGTCTTGCTGCGAGCCTGCTCGGTGTTTCCTGGCACGGGGAAGCAGCAGGAAACACAGTTCACTTCTGGCATAATTGGGATTAATGATGTGGAAATGGAGAAAAAAGCTGTGTAAGGATGGGTGTGCTTTGCCTGGAGCTGGTTCCTGGGGGGGCTGAGCCAGAGCATGGTGGTGGAGATGTGCAGTGGCTGCTAGCAGGTGCTGGGGGGCCAGTGCTGGGTCCCAGCTCTGCCTGTGGGACTGACCCTCTCTGTCCCTCGGTCCCTGCAGGGCAGGATGAAGCTGCTGGGTGCTGTGTTGCTGGCTGCCGGCCTGCTCAGCACTGCTGCCCAGGGGGAGCAGCCCCCCTGGCCGGACGAGCCTTCGCGGACCTGCTTCTTCCAGATGCTCAGCAGCGTGGACAGCGAGTTCTGCAGGTAAGTGACTCCTTGTTGTCTCTTCTTCAAATTGCACAAGCCCTGGGCATCCAGTCATGTGCTGCCCTTGCATGTCACCTCCTGGGACAGTTAATTCCAGTATCCCCTTTGCCAGGGCTATAAATATTGGTTGCTTTCTTCCTTTTGCCAGGAATCTGGGCCAGAGCGAAGCGGAGCAGTGCCTGCCACACTGCGCAGCTCTTGTTTTATGCAAGCTGAGATCTTAGTGGCTCTGGTCACCTCGAGTTGTTCCTTGGTCCATTTTTGCAGAGGCTTTTAAAGCAACTTACAGCATCAGATGATAAATGTTTTCTGCAGAAAGTTTCAGAGGAAGGAGGCTACTTTTGGGGAAGAAAAGTGCTAGAACAGGTGATCCCACAGACCTCAAAGCCCATCCTGCAGAGATGTTAATGCTTGAGGTGTGGGCATGGGAAGAGGAGGAAGCCTGGGGAGCTTCTTCTGGGGCTGCAAACAAGCAGTTTGATGCTGTACCAGCTGGGCCCCCAGCTGAACCACCACTGAATGTACCCCTTTATCAAGTGTTTTGATACTGAAGGTCCTTGGCTTAAACTCTTGTTGCCTGTGGGTTGCTGTAGATGGGAGGCAGGGCTGGGTGAGCAGCAGCACACGCGTTGCCCTTGCCTTTGGGGGGTTCCTAATATCCCACATTACAGGGAGCTTCTGCATCAAAAACATGCTTTCTGCTGCTTTTCAGTTAACCAAAATGCTCTCTAAATATGAGCAAGTTGAGCTTCTAAAGGCAAGCAGAGACTTCACTTGGCCCCAGCTTCCTCCCACAAACCAGGAGTTCAAAGCACCTTGCTTTGAACTCTCAGCCTGCTTTGTGCCAGCCCCGTGCTGCTGTAGGTGTTTGCTCAGCAGCCTCTTGGGCTGCAGGATTTAAGGGCCCCTCCTGCAAGGGTCATGTCTGTGGCAGCTAATCTTCAGGGTGGCCTTGAGACTTGCTATCTACACGCTGCGGTGACCCGACAGCTTGCTCCAGCGGCCCCTTTCTCTGTTGGATAATGCAGAAGGGGAAAGCACTTCATGCAGAAGTCAGAGCTGGAGATATCTGACCTCTCAGTACCCAAACCACAGGGGAGGCTTGTCCCTGCTTTCTTATCACAAGTGGGAGAAGGGGACTTAGAGCTCAAACAGCTTGTCTGAGGCCAAGGGGGAGCGAGGGTAGCTTTGCTCTCCTGCTCTCCATCTTCAAGCCTTAGATTAACCCATATGGGTCATGATTATAAAGAATGTGGAAAATACTGGGAATGATCTGAAGTGTGCTGAGCCATAATGAAAGTCTTGCTGCTGCTTGGGAGAGGGAGCAGACCCCACAGTTGTGTTACAGCATGGGAGGGCTTTTACCCTGGTGCACAAGCTGCCTGGCACCTTTGGTGATGGGAGGTGGGATCCTGCATCTCCCACCCAGCGTTGCAACCGCAGGTCAAGGCTGGCTGGGATGTGGCACTAATTCCCACCCCCTGCATGGTGTGCTCTCGCCCTACATGCTCTTCTCTCCCCTTTTCTCCCCAGAGGGGATTTAGAAATTATCTACCCGGAGCTGGGCGATGTGGGCTGCACGTACATCCCCAAGTGCCACCAGTACCGGCAGCGGATCAGCAGGGAGTGGGGCAGCCCCCGTGTTCGGTACCCCCGGGCTGAGAAGGTGAGTCCTGAGTCGTGTCGCTCACGGGCGGCTGCCTCTGCTCCATGTTTCTGTGTTAATTAAAGGTGTAGCCAGATCACGGGGGAGGAATTCACTGGGAAAGGACTGCTTACACACGTGCGCGCTTGTACTTTGAGCCTGGCCGTGACACCCTGGCTGGGAGCTGGGCCAAGCAGGGACACCCGGCGCCTGTGCCTTGGGTGCTGGCAACGGCCCGGGAGCTGCTCACCCTGTGCCGTGCGTGGCTTTGCACTGCTGTCCCGCGGCCAAAGCGCCGTCGGCTGCTCGGGTTGTGCTTGTTGAAGTTGTGCCTGAAGTCCGGGTGACTTTCTAAGCTTCGTCCTGTGTTTCCCCATTCCTTCAGAGGTTTGGGTTGAGGCGGAGCTGTGGGTAAACTTAAACTAAATTTTTGCTACAATGTAGCAAAAATTTTTGCTACATTGTAGCAAAAATTTGCACGCATCGATTTTTCTTGCAATTGCTTGTAAACTCTTTAAAGTGAAGGTAGGCTTCGGCTGGGTGTTTCCATCCCTCGCTGGTGTCCGCCGGCAGAAACCGGGTTAATTAACCGAGAAGCCCCCGGGCCGCGCCGGGGCTGCGGGATTTGCAGTGCGGGG